AAGACACTTGTACAACTCAAGGGTCAGCATAGTGGTAAACCAGAGATTTTTCAAAATTAGTTCATTTTAAGTTATCATGAATACTTTATCAATTTTAAATCAGTTTCTTATGTATGATAATGCCTGGTATGAGTGGTATCCAAGATACTTACTAGTCTACTCATAGAACTCATAAATGAACTCCAGGGTGCAGAAGGTGGAAGCAGCGTCGCCAATATATGGGTTTTTAAGCCCAAAGCGTCGCCAACCATTTTCAATATGCGTTGCTGGGTAATTTTTAATGAAAAGCCATTTACACTGAGTAATGAAAAACTATTTACAAGCCTCAAACTTATTTACAAGGTTGCATGCACGTGTTACCCCAAATTCCAAAGATCTTGCAATATTCATCCACTGTCTGCACAGTGGAATGAACTTGTGAAAGGGCAATAAAAAATGCTCTCTTATGCTACTAGGCTATGCACCTTAGTAAGGTGGCATATGCTTGATTTTCCATTTTGGTCTTACAAGAGTTGGAAAGCAATTTTTTTACTAAGAAATATATTTTTTTCATTGAAGTTTTTGAAAAATTTTTTAAATATAACCTTACCAAGCTGTAGTTGCATTTCAAAAGGTAGATATGTTCCATGCAAGCAATGAGTAGGGTAAGCACACCATATTCTGACACCTTAAGGACGTAGCAAGAAATAAATGGCTATAAATAGATCATCGTATGGGCAACTCGAGTTCTGATTGGTTAACGACACTCAAAACACGACACTATGTGCCAGAAATGATGAAACATCACAAACTGTTGCCATATGTATGTAAAAGCCTTAAGAATTCAAATCTACAAAATCACTGAATTCTGACACTGTGTGTGACTAAATGCTGTATATTGTGAGATTAATTCTGACAGTGCTTCAAAATCGTAAATCGTAATTCCGAGACCCTGTGTCAGAATATGACACCCTGTGTGTCGTAATTCCGACATCCTGCGTTGGAATTAATTTTCATGTGTCTAAAACTATCTCTTAAATCAATCATCTATTAATTTATTTACCACTTAAAATCAGCAAGTACAAGTATGCTTAAAGGATTTCTAATATATTTACAGACTTATTTAAAAGTCTCAAGACACAATATTCTTTCTACACAAACAGTTTAGCCCTATTTAGTAAAGCAAGATCAACTATCAACTTTCATACATGTTTCAATGTTCTCACTAGCTGACTTGGACTTTTGCACTGCGGATCTTAACATTTTCCTGCTAGACCTAGTGTTTTTGCAGAAATCTGGCGTGCAATAGTACCTATGAGTGGCTATGACATCACTATTTCAACCATCTACGCATGCGTGGAATTAAGACCAAGCTTAATATAAAGGAAAAAGTTAAGGGGTGTCAGAATTACCCACAGTGTTGGAATATGGTGTGTTAACCCTATGTCTACTGTTTGAGCTACAGCTAGAGCTTTTCTGCCTTTTTTTGAGTCCCAAGATAAATAAATAAATTACCTTCAATTTTGTTATTAATAAAAGTATACAATCAGGCCCAAAGATTCCAACAGTATCTAGAATTTGTTGCTTTGAAGCTGCAAGATTTCTCTTAGAAAATAATTCAGAGTATGAAAATTCCAATCCTGCAGTCTGAGATAAAGCCAAAGTATTGAATGATAAATTTTTAATAGAAACTTTGCAGATTATCTCTGGATCTTTGTCTCACTAAAAATAAACTTAAAAATTACTACCTATATGTCAATGCCAATAACATTGCCACAGCACTTAAGTTGCATCTTTCCATGGAAATGATATTTTTGCTTAATAAAACTGAACCACACATTTGTAATATAATCAAAAACTTTTTGTTTATTACGTTTCAATCAAACCCAACAAATTGTAGTTCTGACCAGTATTCTATAGTTTTGGATGAGGAGCGGCAAAGTATGTGCAGTTTCCGCTGAGTGGTGACTTAAGTGTCATTGGTGGTAGCTATTTGAGCCTAGGGTGCCATTTTTTACATTTTTAGCATATAATTGTTTAGGTATCAAAACATTATTTTTGAAAGCAGTGCACTTCTAAAGTATAGCAACTTTTGAGTCCAAATTTTCATAAAAAAATATGTTTGAATGCACTATTTTAATGGTATCTTTTTTAAAAATGGGATATTTTAATAATCTAAATCATGTTATTATTCATATTAGTATAATCCCATACCATCAAATAAGATAAAAAGGGACAAGCAAAATAAATCAGGACAGTCATTTACCTTGCAGTCGGGTCATTCAGTAGAAATGTTGAAGCAGCAAAACTAATCAAAATATTGCAAAATTAAAAATAGAGGCATAAGGTTCAACATTTTTACTATCTTGGTAGCATAAAACAAGTTAAGAAATCTTACATTTACTACCTCATAAAATTGCAGAAAAAAAAGTGTGAAAGGGGAAATTTTGGAAAAATACCTCTGCTAAGGTCTGGAGCAAAAAAAAAACAAGATTTGCTGTATCATAAAATTTTACTTACATAAATGTTGCACACAGCTGTTGGCATATAATTGTGATGACAAAATTTGCGTATCTCATTCCCAAAAAAATGGTGGCCATTTCCGCAATACAGGGTACGGTAATAAGAGACAGGACCCCAGGGTTATAAGTCACTCCTGAAAAAGTGCATTTACTGTAGAACCTTGATTAGCAATGGCTCCAGTCAACAAAAAATCAATTAACAACAAAAAATTTTGATTACATTTACCTCCCTCAACAAAAAATTAACTTGATGAAAAATTAATGGATCATTGGTCACTACAAAATTGTGCATAGAATGTCATAGATAGAATTGTGTACTGGGCAACAAAGAAGAAAAAGTAATTACATGTAATTACAAAAAGTAATTACAATTACACATGAACTATGATTTATTTATCCAAAACATATGATGATTCTCACTAAAATATTCCTTTCTGTTTCAGCTAAGTTTTAAAAATCTTTTTTAGTTTGTTGGAGTGAATTCACTTGACCCAATTAAATTGGTGTGAAATTGCAAGCCATCCTGTAATTTGGATACAGAGGAAATGCTATATGGCTTCTGATATGAAGCTTGTAGTGGACAAGGGCATTGTAAATGCTCAATGGCATGTTCATGGATAAGGTAATATCACACCAATAATACGGGAATGTATTGATAAGGTAATATCATATCAATAAAAAAAAACAAGTAAAAATCACAGAAAACGTGATTTATTTTACATCTGCATCATCTACAAAGGTAGATGTGGGGGTCTCTTGTAAAAGTGAGACACAGGCACCTCAACAACAACAACAACAAAGGAAGAAGAGAACTTCAGAGTACTCTTAGTAATGGATGAGTACACTCTACATGCTTCAAATGCTTTAAAATTAAGTTTTATTCCAAGTGTCCCCAATTACCCAAATCCCAGGGAGAATTAGGGATGCTTTTATTTTGCGTCTGGCATCTTAGGAATAGCAAATAAAAATTTTTTGGTGACGCCATATAATAGCCCTTGCAAAGGCCTTTAAAATGAGCCCAAACTTCTTTATGAAATGTTTCATGGTAAGAAGTTATTAACAAAAAATGCTCAAATCTGTCCCTTATAACCTCGTTTGACGGTATTGAAAAATTAAAAAAACTCATTTTTACAGTAGGAAAAGAAATGATTTAACAGAAAATGGCAAATACTGGCCACCACCTTCTCCTACTCAGTTTTACCTGTATATTTCTCTCTGCATTATAGTTAACATGATGAGCATGCCACATATATCAGTAAAATTTTCAGCTCTTCATTGTAACTGTTATTTAATATAAGTGAATTAACGGTACTATCTTGTTGTTAATGAAGCTGCATTTTCACTGCTTTATACTGACCTGCAAAACTTTAAACCTCCATGGCAACTCCATGGCAAATAAAAGTCATCTGCTGTTTCTCAGTGAATACATATACTGGTAACTAATTGTAAATATATTTTTCATCGTGTCTTCAGCTCCCAATGACACATCAAAATTTCATGAAGCTTTGTAATTGAACAGTACATAGGTAGGTACCTAATTCAGAAGTCTTCCATCGGGAAGAAAACCAGTTATTTATTTTAAACCATTCCGAAGTTTCCATCACCTGATGACATTTTAACGTGTGAAAGCATGTTAAGATGTCAGTAGAGAGCTCTGATTCCATCCTTTGACTTGCAGTAGGAAGCCTTAGAACACACATACCATGTATGGTTGTCATTCTAGTCATTGATTCTTCGTAATAAATTAGGGTTTACTATTCTATATGATCATGTTGCCATTCCTAGTTTGATTCCAAATTTATTGCTCCTCTATGTAATGGAAATTATCTCTTGTGAGGAATAATCTGGAAAACGCAAAATTTTTGAGAAACTTGGTTTCAAATTTCTCTTTAAGGTCTCAACATCTATGCCGTGAAGACTGGAGTATCATTGCTGTTAGTGTTCCCACCTTCTTTCCATACAATCAGACCCACAGTATAAGAGGATCCTAGCTATTGTCTTGGAAACTATATTCTTACTATATAATTCTTACATTCTAATTGCTCCAGAACTATTTTCTATTAAGTAAACTTCTTTTAAAAGACTTCACTGCATTTGTTCTTGGCTGCTATTTTCAACATTGATTGACTTAGCTCCAACCATCATAAAGATATTGCTCATGCTGGCATGTTTTTTAATGCTAGTTGCTTACGGGAGATTTCTTCAGAGCGAAATAAACTTTATAAGCTCGTATTCATTTTAGTGATTTTTTACAAATAATAGTACGTACTTCAAATTTCTGGATGAGCTGTTGAGTTTAGGCTTGTATAAGGTATGGAACTGTATGAATTTCGAAGGATAATTTAGATCATATTCAAGACAGTGCATAGAAGGATTACATTAATCTTTAAATTCCATTTTCATAGCATTAACGCACAGTTCAAAGTTTTGCTGTAGGTCTAAATGTGACTTTCTCGTAATTTATGTAATAATATTTTTCTCTTATATGTTTTTTTTTCTTTAATACAGTGTTGACTTTATGATACTGAAGTCAAGGTGTAAAATGTCAGTTGCATACATAAAAGAAGCAGCAAAAGTTGTTAAAATCCATTCTTTCTAGTGACGCAGTTGCAGTGTTTTCTTGTGCTTCTCTGTGTACAATCACTTACTGGAAAATCAAAAGTTTTACGTGTACGCCATAAGAATTATCTCTGTTTAATAATCTCTTGAGCGGTGAGTTTAACTCGCTCAAGATGGCTAAGTCAACTCGTTTCCCCTGTGACTGCAAACTTCCCTCAAACTTTCCGCTGACATCAACTCGCTCTTTCCTGGGCGCGGATGTACCCACGAAGACAGGCACTTGTAGAAGCGTTGCCTACAGCGCTATCATGTCACCTCCACCCATTAGCCCTTCGTCTCTTGGTGCTTCTGACAGGAGCGAAGAAATGGAGGGATTTGTGCTACGTATGAAGCAGCAGCATGAAGAACATGGCGTATGTGACCCAACCACCAAGAATGAGAGTGGAAGCCATGAGTGCCCTATTCTATGGTGTGTCGGGTGTGCATGTTAACTTCTTTTTGATTTAAGTTAAAAATTCTACATTTTAAACAATTGATGGGTTTTTCCAGTGTTTTAGTGGTCCATGAGAATTAGTTGTAAGCAAATTCTCGTACCGCGACTGATACAATTAGATGAATGGTGTTTTTCACTAGGATTATTTCATTGTTTTCTAAGCTTTATTCTTCTACAGACTGAAGATAAAAATATTTACAAACATAATTTATCCACGACAATTTACCTCGAAATTCATCAAAATTAATTTTATCTAAAATTATTTATAAATCGGTCAATTTGCAATACTTTTCAGAACCTTATTCATAAAAGTTTCCAATTTATTTCTTGCGTCTAACAACAGTTCTGCCGCTAATGTTTTAATTATCGGACTATATCGCCCAATATTTCGTACTCATTTTTGTAGCGGTTTGAAGCTTTCGGCAATGTCCGTTATTTGCACAGCTAACAATCGACTAATGTATGTTATTTCTTGCGTCTAACAACAGTTCTGCAGCTAATGTTTTAATTATCGGACTATTTCGCCCAATATTTCATACTCATTTTTGTAGCGGTTTGAATTTTTCGGCCAATGTCCGTTATTTGCACAGCTAACAATCGACTAATGTATGCGTCGTTTTCCATGATGCTACAATGTTCATTTGTCTTGGCCTAATTGGCAGAAACACAGAAGTCACGACGCGAAGTGTTTACGGCTCAAAATTGCGTCTAATGTTTGTGGTGCTGCTTCCGTAGAAACCATGTCATCTTGTGGACACTCGAACTTCGGCAAAAAATATAATCAGCCGCTCACATATGAAACGAATTATATTGCACTTTGAAGAATTTATTACCTACAACGAATAAAAGTCATTCGGAACCAAATCTACGACCATGAAGCATCGATTTATCGTTGAAGAGCGATTGAAATCCGTGTTTTTGTAGCACATTTTCTCATTTATGAAAAAATGCACTATTGTGCTCGCCATGTCCGTCTGTCCGTCCGTCTGTCTGTCCGTCCGTGACTTCTTCATGTTTTCGTCGACGAGAAAATGCACTCTTGTCACTCACTGCAGTGAGTACTGAGATATATTTTTTTCAATCTTTCATACTGTCGCCCGTAATTGTATAGCTAAAATTCTCCGTTTAATATTCCTGCAGCACCTGGCTTGTCACAGGAAGCGTGTCGTTGTTGCAAACGATGCAGGTTCGAGTCTATGGACGCGGCAAGGTTCACATCATAGAATTAGGCTTCCTCTGCTCGTCACAGCCACGTGGTTCGTTGACTCGTAAACAGCGCGTCGGGCGTCGCGACCACGTAGCTTGGCGGCATGTTAAGAGGAGCTGCAGTGTGCGCTGCAATTGCGGCCAGTAATGCGTGAAGTGCATTAACATTATGCTTTGGTTATCTTATTTAAACATTTTTCGAAGATGATACTTGACTCGTGCAGGTTCGTTGTATCAAAAATAGGGCTGCATTAAACTGAGTTCTGCACGTGCGCCACTTACCTTAATTTAAAATACGAAAATGATATTCAGAATTAGCATTCACGTTGCTCAAATAGACTAAAACCTTAAATTGATGGTACAATCCATCTGCGAACGCGTGTTGCACTGGACTGCTTTAAATGCGCGTTTCATTCGCATTACTCTCTACTTTATTACATTAGTTCGATCACCATTATATATTCTTTGCTAGAGACTCATGTTTAGCACACCTTTTGCATTATCGCTTGGAATAATTTAACTTCAATTGAAGTTACATAATTAAATTTTTTGTCATAATTATCTACGTTATCGGGCAATTCGTATGGCATTTAAGGTAATTATAGTGGCAAGAAGTTCAGGTTTTCCTGGCTCCTCGTCAGGAGATTTGCGTTTTCATTGACGGTTGCGACTGCAGATATTTCCTTCCGTTCGTCCCCGAGGGCTCGTCTTGCAGTCGCCGGATGTCTGTTTTGATTTATGTGATGTGGCTGTGGTTGTATGGAGGGTTATACTGTGGTTGTATGGAGGGTTGTGCTGTGGTTGTATGGAGGGTTGTGCTGTGGTTGTATGGAGGGTTGTGCTGTGGTTGTATGGAGGGTTTAATGCGTTTGCCGTTCATTGCTGCTTTATTTATGCGGCATGCATTTTTTCTTTTATTTATGCCATCTGAAAATCTATATAATTATTAATTGTGTCTGTTATCAGTATAGACAATCGCGCTCAAAGACCTCAAAGTTATTATCACTTAAAAATTTATTTTAGCTCTTTCGGCTGATTATATTATAATTATAGTACGGTACGTCTTATTATTGGTCGTACGTCTTATCTTATACGGTACGTCTTATTATTTACCTTGACGAATCATGGTAGAAAGTTTAAGAATCATTTCATAGAAATTTTACTGTTCATAAATCTGGGATTTGATCATTTTTATAGTTAAGCGCAGCTCAGAATTTAAATTTTAAATCATCTAATTAATAATTAGATGATAATTTACCTTACTAATTTACTATTTAAGATGATTTAACATGTCTTGCCGACTGGTGCGTGCTAAAGTTGATCTCTGTTTCTAGGTGCCTTATAAATTCTAATTTTTTTTGCCGACGCTGGAAAATTTTTAGCCTGAAATTGAGAGGTTGACTTCTGACCTTGCGGAAGCCGATGCGGGCGAACTAATGCAGTTTTTTCTAAGCTGGAATAGCAATGAACTTCGAGCCACCGAAATGCAGCGATGACGTAGTAGCTGCAAGCTGTTGTTGTTGTCATGATACTCTGAACAACATATGGGAATTGGGATAGCCCGTCGTGCTTGGAATCTTCTTCATCGTAAATTCTTTTCTGAAGATTTGTAAATCATCATCAGTCCTTTAGTAGCTTGAATTTTATATCATTGGCTTCAAAATGGACCTATTCTTAGCCGAGAAACGCCCAGGTAGGTCCCTGACCGTTGGTAGCGCTTTATTTGATTGAATAAGGGCATTTTGAGATATGAAATAAATAAGAATAACGATTTAAAACATCAGGTCGCTGCTTCTTACTCAACGAGGTCCCAACGAGGTTGAATAGCATAAATTGATAAAAAAAATCATCCTGAATGTGGGTGTAAACCAGATGACACCGAAACTACCATCGACAGTGGAACTGAAATTGCCGAAACATGTACGATTAAATCACTAGGGAATCCCATCGGCAACGAATGATAGTTATTATGCGGCGTAAATTGCAACGTGGAGGCCAGTGAGACGGTAGCAAGACCTTATATACCTGCCTCTTGCCGTCCAACTTAGTTCATCTTCGGTGACCACCACATCAGGGGGTGCCCGTGCTGTGTTGCGTCTCTTGCCACAATTGACGAAAATGTTCAGTTTTGTTGATATATTGATGGGAATATAACTCGAATTGCATCTAACTTGCTTGAGGTTTAAACCCAGGATTCTTGAGAAATCCGATGTATTTAAAATAATTTTTTGCTTAATTTCTCGTAAGATGCGGTGAAGGTTCATTTTGTTAACATTAACCATCAATATACTTGCTCCGCAAATGCGTAGTGGTATTTTACCTTTGTATCTAAATGAATATCTCGGGTAATATCCATGTTAAATTTCAATTAAAAAAAGTTTAAATTAATGTTAAATATAAGATCTTTATAAAGTCATTCGTTTGAGGAAAAAGAACTTGTTATCGCTGATATCAAAGCACGCGTCATATCTGATAACCGGGCACCGTATCTAAACAACGAAGTATTATACGTTTCTGATTATTTTCATACAACGAGTCAGACGGTGAAGTACCTTTAAAGATTTAACGAAAAATATTGGCATTAATTTACTTGATTGTATTCATTATAATTTTTGTAATGATCAAGCTGTGATGTGAAGTAGAACTAGTGTGATAAATATTTCGATCTCTCACCACAAAAATCGTATTTAATCTCGTATAAGTACTTTCAAATACCCTAGCAAAAGCAATTGCGTGTAGATCCATGGAGTAGATTCTATCTCATAATCACGATACTTCTTGTAGTAAGTTTACAAGTACGTTTATTAGTTACAGTCTGACTACTCATTAGAATGGACGAAAGGCCATCCAGTATGTGGTCAGACGATCAATTGGACGGCTATAACCGATTAATTGCACGCACCACACAACTGCTGCAGGAAACTACTCCTGTCCACAAAAGGTAATACGAATTATACCCTTCTGTATGATGTAGGTTTTTAGCCCAAGGTTTTTAGCATCATATACGTGTTTGGATGTTAATAAACCGCTTTAGAAGTTATAAATTTGTTTTTTTTTTAAGTAGTATTACGCATTGAGATATGAATAAAAATAAAAACGTTTATTCTAGTGCTCTTAACATCTGTGATGAATTTCTAAATAGTTTAGTATGTTTCGTAAACTTTCACTGCTTATAAATAAATACATTACCGTACAAGATTGCGTCTCTTGTCGCTGTCGCATGCTCAGCACTCCAAGTACCTGGCATTGAAATCCGCACCGAGCTGCCGCGGTCACTCGTACCTCATACTGATGGGCTGGCTTGCCTTACCTTACTACCAAAACTACATCTCTACCGAACTATCTGTCTACCAAACTACCTTCCTACTAAACTACCTCTCTACCAAACTACCTCTCGGCCAAACTACCTCTCTACCAAACTACCTCTCTACCAAACTACCTCTCCACCAAACTACCTCTCTATCAAACTACCTCTCTACCAAACTACCTCTCTTTCTCTCTACCAAACTACCTCACCACCAGACTACCTCTCACCACAAAACTACCTCTCTACCAAACTACCTCTCTCTACCAAACTACCTCACCACCAAACTACCTCTCTCTAGCAAACTACCTCTCTCTACCAAACTACCTCACCACCAAACTACCTCTCACCACCAAACTACCTCTCTACCAAACTACCTCTCTCTACCAAACTACCTCTCAACCAAACTACCTCTCTCTACCAAACTACCTCTCACCACCAAACTACCTCTCACCACCAAACTACC